ACCATACCATACCATACCATACCATACCATACCATACCATACCATACCATACCATACAGCATTTTCTAAGCAGGTGGGCTTAGATCCTGCATGTAAGGAGTAACTCGGCGCTGAGAAGGATGAAACGTCCCAACAAAAAAGATGGAGATACTCTTTAAAGATTCTTCCCACAAGGAAATTGAATTGTCATTTTGTGCTGGGAAAAATGAAGAAAGACAGACAGAAGCAACACAGGAAAAGTAAAGAAATGAGACAATGACATACCAGTGACGCCCTCTAACCACCAGCATCTTACCTCGAAGAAAACGACGGCTGAGCGCAAAAAGGACTATATCTTCTTTTTACAGTTTTGAGAAAAATGAGTTTGGAATGTTGACTACATAGAAATTTCTGTAACATAGTACAAAAACCCCCAAAAGAAACGTTAATTTCTTGATACCGAATTAAAGCTACCGCTCAGAAGAGCGGCTTTTAAAATCTCACCACCTATGATATTGATTACTCCATTTCGACAAAAAGTGGATGTAGTCACTTTTTGCGCTCAGCCTTCGAAAAGCAATGTGTGAAAAGGAGATAAATAAAGACGGTACTCACCTTTTCTATCAGAAGCCTCAAACGCCTCCACTTTCGTTTTCTTTCCCATAGTGCCTGCAATAAATTCCTGACACCCAAAGTAGAAGTCAAATGTCCCAGGTTACAAGCTGGAAGTCCAATATCCCAAAAGCCAACGTGACAGGAAATTCTCCTTTTCCCCAACAGAGTGAATATCCAAAGTCCTGATATTATGACTGCCAAATGTATGCAGTCCCAAAGTGAAGGCAGAATATCTTTGGACAAACGATGGTTGTAGAATATTTTCGACACAATGTGAAGCTCAAAATGTTTAGAACCTCAAGGTGAATGTAGATTTTCGGTGGTCTAATACTGAAAGTACAATATCCTCGTCTAAAGGTGGTGGTCAAATACCCTGAGTCCAAAGAACATATTTGGAGACAGGTGTTCTTGGGGCTCCAATGACGCACTAGATGTGTTGTAAAGCCTTTTGGGGTCTGGTGTTTTGGCTCCCCTTTCCTGTCCTAGTCAAATCTTGTTATTTACTTTATATCAGTGATAGAGCATGGTCGACATCAAGACTTCTCTGGATTCTTGATTCTGACACGGTCTGAAAAATAAACAGAACATCATCGATCAACCACACCAAGTACAGCACACAAAACAGAAACAACAACAGCAAGAACGACAGAATAGCAGGCTGTTTCTCTACTTTACTTCATCCATTTCTGCAGTTTCTAATATGGTTGTTCTAATATATTTTCTATTCTCCCCTCCCCTTCTTTCTTTGCTTGTCTGTCTGTCTGTCTGTCTGTCTGTCTGTCTGTCTGTCTGTCTGTCTGTCTGT